CGATGATTTATATCCTGACAATAATTGCAGCTTCACTTCGCCATTTGTGTCAATTGTAAATATCCTTGATGATGGTACATTAACACTTCGATAAGATAAAGCATCCTATATACGGCATATTTCATTAATATTCATTAAAAAAAAATTTACAAGTTTTTTATTAATTTTATATTAATATATACCGTTATCCTATTTCCAAATCCTGCAAAAAATGGATTTCTATCGCAAAACAATTTTTGTACATCTCGTAAACAAGCCATTTTGAAAACTTCAGGTTTGCGCATAATTACTTCTCTAAATTTCAGATAAAATTTTTTTATTAAAATTAAACAACGCAATTATTCAAAACAATCGAAAGTTACTATACCTATGAAAGGCGGTCAATAAGCGATCAGGTGACATAATAACAGGTCCGTCAGGCAATTGATATTTGTCTTGTTCAACTTTCTTTAAGTAATCTCTGGTATATCCGGCCTAAAGTAAGTACAATTATTAAGTAAACTTTTCAAATATTATCGTTTATAAAGCTAGGTATTACCTGTCCAATAGCTCTACTCGTCAGATATAAAATTTGATAACCATTCTTTCGAATATCCGTGTATAATTTGGCAACACCTGAATGTGTCCAGTCTTTCCCGATCATTGTAAACACATGTCCAAGAGCATCCGACCTAAAATAAATAACATATTACAATACTTAAAGGCGAAAAAAAAAAATGATAGTATAATAACTTATAAACTAACTTTGTAATTGTTCCATCGATGTCGGAAATTACGATCTTTGTGTCACAATCCCAGAAGAATATTTTGGCTACGCACGTAGCTTTTCCTTGATAGGAAGAAGGGACGGAAAAAGTTATTGTGTTTGCTCCCTTCTTTAAGTTGAGACTTTTCTGTGAATGAGAGGTTAATTGTATTAATACTTTTGTGCAGGGATTTTTTCAAAAGTTGAAAGCTATAAGTTACCAATTGTTCGGAAGTAAGACGTAGCGTTTTCGCATAAAACTTTGTCGGTTTTTCATTTTCCTACATAAAAGAAAAAAATCGATGAAATGTATAGGTTAATATAATGTGTATAGTACATTTGTGCTTCTAATGACAAATAAAATTCTTATGTTTATTAACCTTTTCAACATTATCTTTTGGTTCCTTATCAATCTTTTCTGATGCTTCTATTGGAAGCGGACTCGATGAGCGACTCCACCATCGACTCCATCCCCTTAGGCTATATCTACGCTGATCTGATGACCTTAATTCCTCAAGTCTATTACTAGATAAATTAGTCATTGTAGAATCTGGGAGAGGCTTTTGAAATACGAGTAAGGAAACTATTATGGGCGCAGCGGTCGGCCACGAGTAATATCTTGTTAAATAAAACCAAAAATACTTAATAAACTATTCAAGTTTTAAATATAAACATTAAACATTAACGATATGAACAATACCTGTCGTCATATTTAAAAACTAATGATTTGTCATTCAAAAGCCGCGGATTTTCTGAGAAATATTCGTATGTAATTTGATTCTTGCGAAACATTTCATCATCAATTTGCTTTTTATTCATAATAAAAAAAATACAATATTAATATTGGAAAAATAAAAATAATAATAATAATTTGCAACCCGTTTTTAACTACCTCATCCCTTCCAAAAGCTTCGCTTCCACATAATGACATTTCAAAATGATGAACCTTTCCTCCAATCTCTATGCCTGATGGCTTTTCGATTGTATTATCATCTTTCCAATCTTTATCAACTGTGCCATTTTGCCAATGCGTGATTTTTTCCGATGTTCTCACAGGCAACGCTCCCCATACCCATGACCACTCTTCTGAATCTTTTGAAGGCTTTTGGGGCCCATATTCCAATTCTGTATCGCTCAAAGGACTGGTTCTACTTGGTCGTCTTTCTAAAGGTTTTTCTGGTTTTCGTGTTTCTTCCAATTCTGTATCAGAAAACGGACCTTCGGATTTTTCCCCTAAATGTAAAATATTAACATTGATAAGAATTTTTTCTTCCAATCATTGCGACACAGCTTATAATGTAAAAAAAAAAATATCGATGAACGAACATTTTGGATGAACGGAAGGTATTGATAAAGCCCTTTCTCGATTCTGCCTCGAAGCTTCTGTTTCTAATCGTGGTATATTGTTACTTTCTTCGGTCTGTTGCGTTTTTATCACGTCACTAAGTTGAGCTTTTGCACGTAAAGCAGTCGATTTTTCGACGAATTAACTGCATTATTATTATAGTTCTATTTATTGTTGTTACAATTGATGATGAAAAAAAAATAAAGATATATATATGTTATCCAAAAAGTACTATTTACCTAAATCAGACTCAACATTATTTTGTATTACAAGATTATCAGCAGAACCATTTAATAATTCAGGTTCATGTCCACTAACCACACCATCTACTTTGTTCGATAGATTTGCATCCTCATCAATCGCTTGCTTAGCATCTAAAGACACACCATGCAAGCTAGTATTAGATATGGATAGTTATATAATAAGTAATCTACAAATTTTAATAAAGAATGTGACATATACCAGACTTGAAATACAACTTTTCCAACGATTCTGGCTTATATTCAGTAACATCATCAATTAATGATATTGAATCCGACGTGCAATTTGATTCCAATTTTATATCTTGATTGCCAGGTGCAAGCTTTTCGTCTGCTTCATGAACGGTATCACCATTTAACATTGTCTTATTTGATTTCTCATAATTTGATATTAAAATTGCTTTTTCATCTGTTATAGTTTCTTCTTCAGACATCGGAATGACTAAATCTGTTATTACTGAAGGTAACTCAGAATTCATCTCATGAATACTTTTAGGTTCAGCAACTAATATTTTTGGCTCAGAATCTCCTTCATATCCATCATCAGTTCCAAAATCTATTACAATAAATAATAGGATTAGCTTTGATTTCGAAATCAACGCCTAAATAATTTGCACACTTTACCGATCGTATTATTTTGCTCAACTCTATTTTGAAGAACTAAAAAAAGGAAAAAAAAATTAAAAGGAATACTATGATCTACAAAGAAACCGAAATTTTAATGATATTTTCGCTAAGGACGTACTATCTTTAGAATTATCTGTGTTTAAATCCAAGAAATCAGGTTCCTATCATATTTAAATTAAACATCATATGTAATTTTTGATTAATTTAATCAGATTGAACAAATATTTGATTAAATTGATTTTTACCTCTTCTGTCGGTAAAGGATCACTGGGACCTGCTAATGGGGAAGTTTGCAATTCTTTTGGGACACGGTTTTCTGTTTCGAACACGAAAAAAGCTTCACCGGCTTCTCCAATTTTCATTGGGAAATCAACAATTTTTCCATTGACAGTAATTTCAACCTATATCAAAGAAATTAGATATATATATATATCAAATGTAAACAGATATTAATAATAATAAGTTTACATACCTTCTTTTCTTGAGGTCTTAAAACCAATAGTTTCCCAAATCGAACATGAAAAGGTGAACATGCTAGTTCTCCATTAGGCTGCTCAACGACAATTACGTCAATGGCACCAGAAAGCGTTGAAGGGTTGATTTCCCTATAAAACTGATTTACGGTAGAAACTAACTTATACACTGACTGCATATTTTGTAAGCAAGCACTTAAAATGAAATGATAAAACTATCGCAATCACTCAAGATTGCAACAACGAACTGGTAACTTGAGTAACCAATTTCGAAAATAGATATATTTAATTTAAAAATTTGTGGAATTTAAAATTACATAACAAAATGAGTTAGATAAAAGCGGGATTGCATAATAAATATTTGAAACAAATTTATTGACGTATTCACATGGTTGAAGGCCAAATCATCATAAGAGTTAATGGACAGCGAGCCTATTTAGGAAAAGTAACACGTATAATTTTTGACTAAAAAAAAAAATTTGCCCCAATAAATATGTTTACAATGGACCTTAGTAGATATTATATTGGCAAAGGAAGAGAAGAACAAGTAGAATTGTTATCTGATGATGAACTTTCAGATTTCTACTCACAAGGAGATTACGAAGAACTTGCGAAAATCGAAAGGCGAATAAGAAACATATGTAAGTTGATTAGTTATCATCGGGACTATTTCTAGTGTTACAAACATTATTAATCTTTCATTATTTTCATTATTTGAAAGTTTTGGTATATGAAAAGGTTTCATATATAAATGTTGATCAAATATTGGATCTATATCATATCTATTACAGTGAATTTAATTGGGATAATTTCGCGAGATCATCAGACACAACTTTATCTGAATTCATACGCGAAATTTGGCCTAAAAGTTTCAATATTACAACTTGTCCACATAATAAGTCGGAATGGATTTCTTTGCTCTCTCCAAATACACTTCAAGATGAACCTTTTTATATGACCTTTGTTACAAAGGAAATGAAATCAAACAGTTATGATAAGGGTTTTTATGATATCAGATTCGGTCACGATACACGAAAGATTGAAGAAAACAAGTTATTGAAAAAGCAAGAACAAAAGGCCGAACAAATCTTATGGAAAACGCGACACTTATTTCCCAATAAAACCATTTTAAATTCATGCTGTTTTGAATTATTGTATAAAGATTTGTATAAAGAGAATGTTGATATTAAGTCAATCGGATATCAAAGTTTTTCGGATTTGTTGCGCAATTCTACAATCTGGAAATCTCTTGGAAACGATAGATTTATTATAGAGAGGGAAGAAGATCAAAAATGCGACTCTTTATTATTGAGGAAAGAAATTGTAAGGCTAAGCGACTTGCAATTAGTGGCAATATCTATTTTATCAAGCAAATATTATGGTGATCATCGTGCTAGAAGTTGAATATGTCTACCAACTTCTTTTTTCTCTTTTCATTGTCTTCCTTTTTGCTTTTTCTTTATCATGTTGTTGTTTTTCTAATAATTTACGATTTCTTTCTTTTTCTTCCTCATGTTGCTTTCTCATTTGCTCCCTTCGAAATTGCTCTTTTTGTTTTACTTGTTCTGTATTGCGATTGGCTTGTAACAAATCTTTATGTATTTGAATAGAATTATTGATTGAGATAATTAATTTAACAATATAATATAAATGAATGAATATCTACCTTCGCTAATCTCTTTAATTGCACTTCTGTCTTTATATTGGATTTCTGCCTCTCCATCTTCATTTTCTACAACTTCATCCAATTCATAACTATATCTCGCGAGCAGTTGTTCGCGTCTTTTGCGTTCTTCTTTCGTAAGTTGTTTTTTTGGATTACGAAGCGATATTGTAGCGGATTCGATAGAAGTTGAAGAATTTTCAAAATTTTGTTGTAGAGCAGCAGCTTCTTTTATTTATAAATTGTTTAATGTCTTAAGAAAGTTTCAGAGAAATATATACAAAATAAAAAAAAATAAAAATTTATATAAATACCCTTTGTTTCTTTCTCTTGCTTAAGTTTCTCTTCAGCTTCTTTAGTTTCTTGTTCTTCTTCAAATTCGGACCATGTTTTAAATATATCGTCTATTATTGATTCTGATGGGTTGTCCTCAATGAAAGTTGGAAATAAGTAATAATGACTTATATTATTCAATCGAATTTGAAAGAATTCATTAGATATCTCACTGTTGCACCCGATATAAATTCGGAAATGGCTTCTCGTTTTTCCGACTCTTCTAGTGAATCATCGGTAATAATTCCCGCAATATATTCGCCAAATGTCTAATGAAATGAAAATTTTTGATTAATTTCGATATTTAGATTAATTCTTGTTAAAAAATGCATGAAATTACCTCTTCGTGTAAGCCAATGGTGAACAATTTGTTCCTTATAAATAATTCTAAATTCATAGTCTGGTTTTTAATGGATATGGATACAAAGTACTGGCTTACCTCAAAAAAATATTTTTTTCTTATTTTTTCCTAAATGTGTACTTAATTTTCAATAAAAAAATTTTTTTTGACTAAAAAATTTGTATTTATTTTAAAGTAGGTTCGGTATCACAACGTCCAACACAGTTGATTCATTTTTTCTATTTTCAATGACTGAACGTTATCTTAAAAACACGTTGGAACTTCCAAGTATCAACGATTTCGATCCCAAAAGGCTTGATCATTTTATAAAGTTCAACACTGAAAAGATTCTTTTCAACTATACAGTATCACACTATTCTCGAGACTATGATGTATTTTGTGGTAATTTGACCACCAAAAAAAAAAAAAAAAACAAAAAAAAAAACCATTCCATTTTTGATTTAAGATTAATTTATTTATTTTAAAATTAGGTTACGCTGGTATAGCTTTTACATACTTCCATTTACATCAAATTGACCCCAATCTGAATATTGCAGGCGATAAAGTTGGCCTTTTGTGCACGACATATCTTTCAGCCGCATTATCTGCGGTGAAGAAAACTAAGGAAAAACATGTCGGATTTTTGGGAAGTCATGTTGGACCTCTAGCTTTAGCCGTAGTGGTTTATCATATCATAGAGAATAACTCTGACGAAGCTTTAAAATATTTGAATTTAATTCTCAAAACGTATCACCCTTTGGCAGTAAAAGAGGAATCTAACGAATTGCTATATGGAAGAGTTGGATATCTTTACGCGTTAAAGTTCATACAAAAGCATTGCTTTGATAACGCAAATATCATGCAAAGATTAACAGACGATACAGTTAAAGAAATTTTTGAATTAATTATTGTAGAAGGTCGAAAAGGTGGATTAGATTCTGATGATGATGAGGTAATTTATGATGAGGGAAAAAATGTTGAGAGACCACCGTTATTGTGGAGCTGGCATGGCAAGGAATATCTTGGAGCCGTGCATGGAGTTGGTGAGTTTCTTTTAATCAAATGTGTTGTATTTAGCTTAATTATATGTTCACACTAACGACTAACGAGGAAAAAAGCCGGTATTGTTGCTATTTTGTTACAATTTAAAAATCTTGCCGAGCCATATTTGGATGATTTATTTCAAACTATGGAATGGCTAGTTAAACTTGCATTCAAAAATGGAAATTATCCACTGAGTTTACAATCAACCCATGATGATCTGGTTCAGTGAGTACACTGTGAATTATAAAAGCCATTAGAAATATGATTCATAATTGGTGAATGAAACAATTTAAAATTCAATAGAGTATGTCATGGAGCTCCGGGAATGGTTCCGGCATTTTTGAAGATATACGAGTTATATCCAACACATGCAACTTCTTCGACTTTATTATCCGCAGCTGTCAAATCATCAGATTTGATATGGGAACGTGGAATTTTGAAAAAAGGTCTTACAGGTCTTTGTCATAATGCTCTTGGAAACGCTTATTCATTTCTTCTTCTCTATCTTGTTAATAAAAATGAGGAGCAATTACAAAGAGCACTCGCATTTGGAATTTATGCGAGTCAATGGGAAGAAGAAACCAAAAAGCGACATGTCAAAGTTCCAGATAGGCCTTGGAGTTTATGGGAAGGTCTTGCTGGAGGAGTTATGTTTTGGGCAGATTTATCAACAGTATTAAAGGATATACAAGTAAATCGAGGATTGACAGTGGCCCGAGATAAAGTTCTCGGATTTCCTTGCTTTACCGATTTGTAATGTTTAAGATATTAATAAAATGTTTCAAGTTATAAATGGAATTCTCTATTAAAAGTTTAGCATTTTTATTATTGTATTTTCAATTATAATTTTGGACCATCAACTAAAACGCAAGGACCATTAGAAATTAAGTTTATTCCCACTTGATTAGCATAATCTTGACATTCTGTGTCTTCAGCTCCTGGTTGTAGCCAAATTTTTTTAATTCCCAACTAAAGAGAATAAAAAGAATATTACTCAAAAAAGTTATAAAGAAATAATTTATGAAAAAATTTATATTACCTTATTAGCTTCCTCAAGAATAGCCTTAGTAATTTTTGGAGAAGTTAAAACTGAGACGGAAACATCAGTATGATTAAGATTTGAGATTAATGAATAAAGGTTCGGAACACATTGTAAACCTTCAATTGACGTTTCATTCTATTATAATTAAAAAAAAAAAAATTAGAAAAAAAAAATGAAATGAATCGTTAAGTTACATGTGGAAAACTATCATACGGGATTAATTGGAGTGACAGGGCGATTATTAGCTATATACCTAATATTTTTTTTAAAAAAAAAAAAAAAAAATTTTGGTTTTTTATTTTTTGTGAATCAAATTAAAATTTAATTTCCAACATACCATTTTAAAACTTTATTTCCGTATTTTGATGGTACAGAAGAAGCACCCACCACAGCATAATGAGAAGAAGAAAAAAAATCTTTAATTAAATTTGCCGTTTTTCCCATTTTAGAAATGGTTTTTTTTTGTTTGGAAAATAAGTTATAACGATTATAACCACTTTGGTGATTTCCCAGGCAAGTTTGCCAAAATATAGAATATTAATTTAGTAGTGATACTATTTATCAGGATAAGTGTTTTATTATATTTGCTATAATACTACTATTTTAATAATTAATTTCCGCTATTTGTTCCTTAACTAAATTACTACGTAATTATGGACAACTGAAAAAGCGGATAAATATTATGAATATTAATCATTCTAAATTAATCGGCCTCATAATCTTTTTTAATTCAAAATTTGATAGTTTTTTTTTTATTTTGATCATTTTTTATAAGGAAAAATGAAAAATGAAAAAAAAATATTATTAATTCTAATATTAAATTCATTCTTTATTAAAGTAAAAAATGAATTTTAATCACTTTTTTACAAAAATCAAAAAATCAAAATCAAAATTATATTGATTCATAAAGTTACTAATATTTTTTTGTAAAAATACAAATTCTTAAAAAGAGTAATATTAAACAAATAATAAAAATGATAATAATACTAAAAATAATATATATATCTTATAGAAAATATAGCGTAATTTATTAAAATATTATTAAACTTAAAAATCTATTAAATATTATATAAAATTTCTGAAAATATTTCATAATTTTATCTTTCTGATAAAACATTTGAAATTATGTTTAATTTACCAGTTGTCTAAATTGACAGATAATCTCAACTATATAACAATTTTTATTTATTCAAAGAAGTTTTTTTTTAAAGAATAAGTTAAAAAAAAAAAAAAATAACAAAAAATGCTAAAATTTTAAAATATAAATTTCAAATATGTTAAATAAAAAAGATAAAGAAGATTATATTAATATAATTGATATAAAAAATTTTACATCAGATATTTTAGATAATATCAGTATTAAAAAAAGGTATTTAATAAACTTTTCAATAAGAAAAAAACTGAATTTATTAAATTTTTAAAGGAGATTCAAAACTTTGCAATTAATATATAATTAGAGTGAATATAAAAATCATTCAATAAATTTAAAATTTATATTTAAATATAAATTAGATAATAATAAAGATTATATTATAAAAATTCAAATTTCAAGACTAATTGATAATATTATTAGTTACCTTAATCAAAAGTATAAAATATATAAATATTCTAAATCTTAACCACTAAGTTAATAATAGTTTATAAGACTATTACTTACTTGTATTATACTATTATAAGTATATTATTATCTATTTACTGTTTTAACTTTTTGTGATCTTTTATTAATCATATTATTATCTATTCTATATCTTTTTAATTATCAAGTTATCCCTTAAATTATAAGTATAAATTGATTATAAAACATTATAGAAAAATTACAATATTTTAATATCTAGTGATTATAAAAAGATAAAATAAAGTTTATTAAATTTGTTATATTAAGATCTATCTAATGATAGTATTTTTAAATTTTTAAATTAATAATTATTAATATATATTAATTTTTTAATTTTTTAAAATACCTTATTATCTAATAATTAAAAGAAAATAATAATTTATTAAATTTATATATAACTTTTTTTTGCAATTATTCTACTAAAAATTTTTATGTAAAAATGTATATGTTCAAAAACAGCCAAACCTAGTCTGCAATAAAAAATAAAACTCTCTTTTTAAATTTCTTCCTTTCTTTGTTCTCCCTAAACCCTTTTATTCCAAAAAAAAATTTTTTGTCAGTTTAAACAGTGATGTTTTTTGTTAAAATATTTTTTTTCATCACTTCTTATAGTTATTTTTCTGCTTTTTCTGCTTTTTTTTGTCTACAAAAGTGAGTATTAGGGAGTATTCCAAATGACAATCAGGATTGATAACAACTTTAGATCAACTAATCGCACATGATGATTTTTTCTTTATCTTCCTAAACAAGTATATTCTTTTTAGATCTCTAATATTATAGAGCCTGCTAATTTTAGTAAGATTTTCTAATTTTCATAACTGTGTAATTTAAACTCTTTGCAATAACTGCTAGTAGCTAGCTGTAATCTGAATAGATAAATATATTAGTATAGAAGTTTAAGAATACTAAAGAGCTTTTGACAAAACTTAGTGATTATAAGTGCTTTTGTTATGAAAGATCGCTATAACCAGAAATTAATCAGGTAATTTAGCTAAGAACTTGTTGGAGTCAAATTTTTTATTAATTTTTTTTTTAGTTTAACAATAGTTCAAGTTACTTATTTTTGTATTGAAATTAAATTTAGAATAAGAATTATTGTTAGATAAAAGAAAAGAGCGTAGTAATAATCTAATTATCATGTATTGATAAAAACTCTATTAATAATTGTCTCTGAAATATAGTAGGATGATCAGTTAGTTTGAGACTAATAAATTTTTAACTTGTAAGAATGTTTTAAATAGTCTATTTTATTTTTTTTACTATATGTACCTAGTTTTCAGGATTTTCATATATTAATCTACTGGATTTGGATTTTTATAATAAAATTGAGCATTATCGTATTTTTAAAAAAAATAATTATAAGAAAATAAAATTTAGCTTGTTAGATTTATCTCATTAAGGCCTATTAAATAATTAATATTTTCATATTTTTGAGATTAATAGATAGCAAGATACTGTAGAACACTGACTTAACTATCTCAGGTATTTTATAAATTCACTTATGAATTTGCAAAATACCTAATTAGTTGATCGGAGGTACTTTATAAGAAGGGGAGTAGTTTGATTAGACTATGTAAATTATAAATATATATGGTTTTTTAGTGTTATTATGTTCTATTTTTTGAATGCGTTTCACTTTTTTGGATTACGTTTTATTATTAAGAATAATTAAAGGAAATAAAAGTATTAAAGTTCTAGATTTATTCTAAAAAAGAAATTGATCAATTTGTAAAAAGTTAATGATCTTGCATTTTTTAAATGATTCAAATAATGTTTATGCTACTGCAAAACATTTTAATTTATAGCCAAACCAAGTTTATAATTAGAGAAAGAAAAGAACCAGCTTAAAGCCTTTGCATCTCATTTATTAAAGATATACAAAGGTAGACAACCATTTTTTTTAGATTTAGAAAATGAGCTAGCAAATTGGATTTTAGAATATTAAGAATAAAGTCTTCTAATTACTAGAAATATAACAGTAAAAAATGTTAAAGAATTTGTACAAACTGATAAAAATATCCTAATATTTCTTCTTTTAAATTTCAAATAAATGGATGGACTGTTTTATGATCTTTCAAATCATTGAAAAACAATAGTATCTCAATATCTACCAGAAGATTTACTTAAAAAATAATAAAGTTTTTTAAGTTTATTCTTTATAAAAGAATACAATATGATTACCCATTTCAATTTATTGGAAATATTGATAAAATACCTGCTTTTGATTTATCTAATTTATATACTTTAGAAAAATATGATTCTAATACTATTAGTATTAAAATTATTGAACATAAAAAAGTATATTTATAATTATTTTGAATTGTATAGCTTAAAGGTTCAGGCGAAACCTGATAATTACGCCCGATCCGAATCCAAAATCTAGGCGATATTAGTTACGTCTTAACAAAAAATTTCTGAAATATCCGATTGAGTCTGATACTGCCCAAATCTGAAATTCAATCTGAATTAATTGAAATTCTCCGAAACTTAATTATTCACGTGAAAATCAAATATATAACATTATTGGTAAGACAAACATT